AGCGGGGCTGTAATTTGCACTTCACCTCTCTATTCTGCCTATATATGTCCAAATTTATTGACTTGTAGACCTAAGGCGCATAATAGAAGAGCAAATGTATAGCATAGCAGTAGCAGGAGCCACCCACATCTTCACGGACGGATCGGTGGACACAGAATATGAGTGCTGGCGCTGCTCTTTGCACGACCAGCGTACAGGCATATTGGAGACTGGGAGGACTAGTATCATCAACCCAAACTGAGCTGTTTGCCATACAACAGGCATTCCCATATGTGATTGCACAAAACACTCAAAATGCAATCATACACACAGACTCAAAAGCTGCACTTCAAATACTAGGACAAAAACAGTGGAAAGATAATGTGGAAATAATTACCACCATTATGTATCTTGGAGCTGTCGCTAAAGGCAAAGGACTCAACATAACCAGTCAAGGTTGTGGTCAACAAGGGAGCCGGTCGGCCGAGCGGACAGCACACTGGACTTGTCATCCTGTGGTCCCGGGTTCGATCCTAGGCGCCGGTGAGAAACAATGGGCAGAGTTTCTTTCACCCTATGCCCCTCCCTGGAAACACAAACCGAAACTGTCTCTATTTTCTGCTTGTAACAACTTGTAATAAAGTTGTTACATCTTGGCTTAATGTGTTTATGACGTATTGGAACGTTGTTACAACTTGATATCTTGGTTGTTAAAACTGGTTAGGTGGTGTTAAAACTTGTTCGAACGTTGTACCAACGTCATAGTTTCGGTGTGTGTTTGGAGGGCTATTACCTAGCAGTAAAATAGGTACCTGGGTGTTAGTCAGCTGTCACGGGCTGCTTCCTCGGGGTGGAGGCCTGGTCGAGGACCGGGCCGCGAGGACACTAAAGCCCCGAAATTATCTCAAGATAACCTCTCAAGGTAACCTTAAACTGGATCCCATCCCATGTTGAATCCCATTAAATGAGAAAGCCTATGAAATTGCTACATTGGCAACTCGTCATCCAGTGATACATAAAACAATTCAACCCAGCCTAGAGAACATAAAAAACATCATCACCAAATAACTCTCACACCTCAACAAAGCCGACCTGCACCAGAGAGTAGCTGAAGGTTCGCCATCTGCAACATGGTATCTTCAGGCAACCAAATTAGAAAGGTTAAATATCCCAAAAGGAATCCACAGGGAAATAGCAGTTAGGTTATATAGACTACGTCTAGGTTACAGATGCAACTAGGAGATTGGTGAACCCTTACACAGAGAGAGTGCATCTTCTGCCAAACTGTCACAGAAAAGTCACTACTTCACTATCTCCTGGAATGTGAAGCAACCACCTTACAAGAGCTTTAAGAGTCCCTGAATCTTGCAATAACCACCTTGAAGCCATCAACACTGCCACTCTTCTGGTAATGAAAGGTGTCCAGCAGCTAGAGACCCTCATAAAGACAGTCCAGCAGTATCCTCCCCCACGATAGCAGCCTGACGATTAAATGTTACCTCAAAACACTGAATAGATTTACTGAACAAAAAAATCTACCACTTACGGGCTATTCATGCCCGTGCCACCTCTTGGGTGTCTTAATCTTTATCAGTCAATCATCGACGACTTGTAAATCAAAGTACTTAAGGAAATTCGTGTTTCAATTCTTCCTCCGTGGTCTTTCTTTCTACAAATTATATATATATATATATATATATATATATATATATATATATATATATATATATATATATATATTATATATATATATATATATATATAATATGCATCACAAAAACACTGATCCAAGTATGCGGAAAACAACATGTATGTGAAAAAATAGAGAATGCTTACACGTTTCGCCTTCATCAGAGTAAAAAAGAATGAATGATTCTTCATTCCTTTTTTGCACTAATGAAGGCGAATTGAACCGAAAACGCGCTTAGCATTCTCTATTTTTTCACATGTGGTTTATCCGCATACATATGTGAGTGTGTGTATGTAATATACATAAATATAACTCAGGATATGCAAATAGGAAAGCCGTAAAAACGCATCAAACGGATATTATATACAGATTATCCAACCTCTTGAGATATTTTCACAAGAAAATCGGCGACTTGGCCAACGGGTTTCGAAGCCTCGCTCCCTGTTCCAGGAAGGTGGAAGGGATCGCTGGAAGAGAACAACTGGAAGAATATCAATTGTTTGCTCTGGAGGGAGGGACCGAAGCTTTTGGGCTTTTCGCTGTCATTACCCACACAACAGGAGCCAGTTGTTGTGTACGGGGGGATGGTGCGTGGTTGTGTACGGGGGATGATGCGTGGTTGTGTACGGGGGATGGTGCGTGGTTGTGTACGGGGGATGATGCGTGGTTGTGTACGGGGGGATGGTGCGTGGTTGTGTACGGGGGATGATGCATGGTTGTGTACGGGGGATGATGCATGGTTGTGTACGGGGGATGGTGCATGGTTGTGTACGGGGGATGATGCATGGTTGTGTACGGGGGATGGTGCATGGTTGTGTACGGGGGATGATGCGTGGTTGTGTACGGGGGATGATGCATGGTTGTGTACGGGGGGATGGTGCGTGGTTGTGTACGGGGGATGATGCATGGTTGTGTACGGGGGATTGTGCATGGTTGTGTACGGGGGATGGTGCATGGTTGTGTACGGGGGATGATGCATGGTTGTGTACGGGGGATGGTACGTGGTTGTGTACGGGGGATGATGCATGGTTGTGTACGGGGGATGGTACGTGGTTGTGTTCGGGGGATGATGCATGGTTGTGTACGGGGGATGATGCATGGTTGTGTACGGGGGGATGGTGCATGGTTGTGTACGGGGGATGATGCATGGTTGTGTACGGGGGGGATGGTGCATGGTTGTGTACGGGGGATGGTGCATGGTTATGTACGGGGGATGATGCATGGTTTTGTACGGGGGATGATGCATGGTTGTGTACGGGGGATGGTACGTGGTTGTGTACGGGAGATGGTGCATGGTTGTGTACGGGGGATGTTACGTGGTTGTGTACGGGGGATGATGCATGGTTGTGTACGGGGGGATGGTGCATGGTTGTGTACGGGGGATGGTGCATGGTTGTGTACGGGGGATGATGCATGGTTTTGTACGGGGGATGATGCATGGTTGTGTACGGGGGATGATGCATGGTTGTGTACGGGGGATGGTGCATGGTTGTGTACGGGGGATGGTGCATGGTTGTGTACGGGGATGGTGCATGGTTGTGTACGGGGGATGGTGCATGGTTGTGTAAGGGGGATGGTGCATGGTTGTGTACGGGGGATGGTACGTGGTTGTGTACGGGGGATGATGCATGGTTGTGTACGGGGGATGGTGCATGGTTGTGTACGGGGGGATGGTGCATGGTTGTGTACGGGGGATGATGCATGGTTGTGTATGGGGGGATGGTGCGTTGTTGTGTACGGGGGATGGTGCGTGGTTGTGTACGGGGGGATGGTGCATGGTTGTGTACGGGGATGGTGCGTGGTTGTGTACGGGGGGATGGTGCGTGGTTGTGTACCGGGGATGATGCGTGGTTGTGTACGGGGGGGATGATGCGTGGTTGTGTACGGGGGGATGGTGCGTGGTTGTGTACGGGGGGATGGTGCGTGGTTGTGTACGGGGGGATGGTGCATGGTTGTGTACGGGGGATGATGCATGGTTGTGTACTGGGGATGATGCATGGTTGTGTACGGGGGGATGGTGCATGGTTGTTTACGGGGGATGGTGCATGGTTGTGTACGGGGGATGATGTATGGTTGTGTACGGGGGATGATGCATGGTTGTGTACGGGGGGATGATGCGTGGTTGTGTACGGGGGATGATGCATGGTTGTGTACGGGGGATGATGTATGGTTGTGTACGGGGGATGATGCATGGTTGTGTACGGGGGATGATGCATGGTTGTGTACGGGGGGATGGTGCATGGTTGTGTACGGGGGATGGTGTATGGTTGTGTACGGAGGATGATGCGTGGTTGTGTACGGGGGGATGATGTGTGGTTGTGTACGGGGGATGGTGCATGGTTGTGTACGGGGGATGGTGCATGGTTGTGTACGGGGGATGGTGCATGGTTGTGTACGGGGGGATGGTGCATAGTTGTGTACGGGGGATGATGCATGGTTGTGTACGGGGGATGATGCATGGTTGTGTACGGGGGGATGGTGCATGGTTGTGTACGGGGGATGGTGCATGGTTGTGTACGGGGGATGATGCGTGGTTGTGTACGGGGGATGATGCGTGGTTGTGTACGGGGGGATGGTGCATGGTTGTGTACGGGGGATGATGCGTGGTTGTGTACGGGAGGATGGTGCATGGTTGTGTACGGGGGGATGGTGCATGGTTGTGTACGGGGGATGATGCGTGGTTGTGTACGGGGGATGATGCGTGGTTGTGTACGGGGGATGATGCGTGGTTGTGTACGGGGGGATGGTGCATGGTTGTGTACGGGGGATGATGCGTGGTTGTGTACGGGAGGATGGTGCATGGTTGTGTACGGGGGATGATGCGTGGTTGTGTACGGGAGGATGGTGCATGGTTGTGTACGGGGGGATGATGCGTGGTTGTGTACGGGGGGATGGTGCGTGGTTGTGTACGGGGGTCGTGACATGATTCAGTCCGGATAGCAATGATATTGTGATATCCGGTGGCCGGTCACATTGTCATGTACGGGGTTGGTCATATGGTTGTGTCCGGGGGTGTGGGAGCAGTCACAGGCCAAGGTAGGCTCTTCAGGGTGACGGGGAAAGCAGCAGGGCCGGACATAGGCAGGAAAAAGGAGGACACTGAACTTGAAGATAAAAGACAGACTAAGCAAGAGTTAAGGTTGATGTGGGCGAAAAGGTTCTCGTCCAGTCACATGTTGCACGACCTGTTGGAAGCATACCTAGCAGCGCTTACCTATCTCTAACTGCTGGGATGTGAAATCTAGCTCTGAAGCCCCAACCCAATCCCTCCCCAAGCCCCTTATAGCCTTGTGGTACCCGTTGCTGTATAATTGAGCTGTTCTGGTGTTAGAGTTCTTTGTGGAATCTGAGCTGAAAGCTGTGACTGGAGGTGGCTTCCACACCTTCTGCTTTCAGTGCATTCCTCGTGTTGACTACTCGAACAAGGTACAGGTATTTTCTTGGGTTTCTACGACTCATTTAAAGGTTTCATTTATGCCCTCTTCAACCTATTTTCTCAGTTTAAGGAGGGTGTTTTGGTCAATCTTTAGAATTCCTCCTATTTTCTTGTGTGTTGCTTCGTGAACCTGGCCCTAGATTAGTAAGTGCTTGCATGACTGCTTCGTGAACCTGGCCCTAGATTAGTAAGTGCTTGCATGACTGCTTCGTGAACCTGGCCCTAGATTAGTAAGTGCTTGCATGACTGCTTCGTGAACCTGGCCCTAGATCAGTAAGTGCTTGCATGACTGCTTCGTGAACCTGGCCCTAGATCAGTAAGTGCTTGCATGACTGCTTCGTGAACCTGGCCCTAGATCAGTAAGTGCTTGCATGACTGCTTCGTGAACCTGGCCCTAGATCAGTAAGTGCTTGCATGACTGCTTCGTGAACCTGGCCCTAGATCAGTAAGTGCTTGCATGACTGCTTCGTGAACCTGGCCCTAGATCAGTAAGTGCTTGCATGACTGCTTCGTGAATCTCAGCCCAGGTTCGTAAGTGTTTGCGTAACTGCTTCGTGAATCTGAGCCTTGGTTCTTAGTTGTAACTCCTTGTTTTCTCTTCAACAGGCCCTCGTTCCATCCCAAATCCTTATCCTGCCCGATTGATTGATCAAGATAAAGCCACCACACGAGGTGGCATGGGCATGAATAGCCCGAAATTATCCTGACCCCCAGTGCTATATAGTAGCAGTGGCTTGGCATGTTGTTGTTGCTGTTAAAGGTTCGCTACCTGGAAGAAAGTTCCAAGTAGCACGGGCTATGGTGAGCCCGTGGCTGTGGCTTGGCGCTTCATTCTTCCCCCTGATTATCACGTCAACACCTCTGTTGTTGAGTTGCACACATTCCTCCAGTGGAGCGGTGTTACTCACCCGTCTGGTGATGTAATGGTTCGCGCGGACTGGACCTTCCGTTCCCTTACTGTTGGCACCCCTGGCTGGGGGGGGAGCCTCGCCCCCCGTCCCCCCTACCTGCTGCTGCCCGCCTCCTAGCGGCCAGTTTACGTACCTGAGAAATGGAGAATTTAATTTTTTTCAATTAGAGATGTTTTTACGTAAATTATAAAATAGTATAATATGTCTTACTGAATGTATTAAAACACAGCACACACACACACATATACACATACACACACACATATACACATACACACACACATATACACATACACACACACACACACACACACACACACACACACACACACACACACACACACACACACACACACAAACACACACACACATATACATACACACACACACACACACACACACACACACACACACACACACACACACACACACACACACACACACACACACACACACACATACACACGGTAGGGAGCCGGTGGCCGAGCGGACAGCACGCTGGACACGTGATCCTGTGGTCCCAGGTTCGATCCCGGGCGCCGGCGAGAAACATTGGGCAGAGTTTCTTTCACCCTATGCCCCTGTTACCTAGCAGTAAATAGGTACCTGGGAGTTAGTCAGCTGTCACGGGCTGCTTCCTGGTGTGTGTGTGTGTGTGTGTGCGATGTGAAAAAAAATAAAAGTAGTAGTTAAGAGTTGATTGACAGTTGAGAGGCGGGACCAAAGAGCCAGAGCTCAACCCCAGCAAGCACAAGTAGGTAAATACACACCAGTTTTAGAGTATGCCGCCCCATTTAAACAAAATTTAGGCAAAATTTAGGCAAATTGGCTTTAGGCATTGTATGTACTAGCTATACCTATAAGTCAAACAGTCCTTGTAAATATTTATTGTATGTATGTACCTTACCTAAATAAAATTGTATTGTAATTGTTGTATAAAACACCTGAAAGGTTGCAGAAGTTTGAAACGAGACTTCTCAGAGTTGGGAGGGATGAGGTATGAAGAGCGACTGAAGGAACTAAACCTGACGACGCAACAAAGGAGGAGGGAGTGGGGGGCGACACGATACAAATGTATGAATTAACTTAACTTATATTAACACTTAATTAGTTACACCAACACTACAGCCACCACGTAATCTCTGATTATGTTCTGAACTTTGTTGATTTTAAAGTGTGGAAGCAGGTGCTCCAGTCAGACTATCGGCTAACATATATTGTTGGAGAGTTTGTCAAAGTTCGCATGTAATGATTTCGGGGCTCCACCGGGGATCGAACCCGGAACCTCAGGACTACGAATCCCGAGCGCAGTCCACTCAGCTGTCAGGCCTTCAACCAGTGATAACGCGTTCTTTTGTATATTTAGCAAAAAGGACAACTTTCGCTATCATTTGAGATAGCGAAAGTTTTTTTTTTATTATTTACGAAATTATTGGAAAATTATTATAATTGCCAATTAAGGAACTATTGTACTGAGTTAGGTAATTATTTAACAGTTTTGTCTGTGTCTATCACATTCCTAATGGTGTCATTTTTTGGTCACGTGGCCTGAACTGGGGGGGCCTGACGGCTGAGTGGACAGCGCTCGGGATTCGTAGTCCTAAGGTACCAGGTTCGATCCCAGGTGGTGGCGGAAACGAATGGGAAGAGTTTCTCTTACCCTGATGCCCCCTGTTCACCTAGCAGTAAATAGGTACCTGGGAGTTAGACAGCTGCTACGGGCTGCTTCCTGGGGGATGTGTAACAAAAAGGAGGCCTGGTCGAGGACCGGGCCGCGGGGACGCTAAGCCCCGAAATCATCTCAAGATAACGTCAAGATAACGAAACCAGTTGCGCATGTACCCCTCAAAGAATTGTTACATGGGCTGTGCAACAAGAACTGTGCAACAAAAACTGTGCAGCAAAAACTGTGCAACAAGAACTGTGCAGCAAGAACTGTGCAGCAAGAACTGTGCAACAAAAACTGTGCAGCAAGAACTGTGCAACAAGAACTGTGCAGCAAGAACTGTGCAACAAGGACTGTGCTACAATGTATGTCCAGCAAGAACTGTGCAACAAGGGCTGTGCAGCAAGAACTGTACAACAAGGACTGTGCAACAAAAACTGTGCAACAAGAACTGTGCAACAAGAACTGTGCAGCAAGAACTGTGCAGCAAGAACTGTGCAGCAAGAACTGTGCAACAAGAACTGTGCAGCAAGAACTGTGCAACAAGAACTGTGCAGCAAGAACTGTGCAACAAGGACTGTGCTACAATGTATGTGCAGCAAGAACTGTGCAACAAGGGCTGTGCCGCAAGAACTGTGTAACAAGGACTGTGCAACAAGAACTGTGCAACAAGGACTGTGCGACAAGAACTGTGCAGCAAGAACTGTGCAACAAGGGCTGTGCAACAAGGACTGTGCGACAAGAACTGTGCAGCAAGAACTGTGCAACAAGGGCTGTGCAACAAGAACTGTGCAACAAGGGCTGTGCTACAAGGACTGTGCTACAAGGACTGTGCAACAATGGCTGTGCTACAAGGACTGTGCAACAAGGGCTGTGCAACACAGGTAAACAATAACAAAGTCAGCAGCAGCAGGCTGGTGGCTAAAGATAGGTTACTGTGCCACAGTGAACCCCAGACAACCTGGACTATGCAATATGTTGCAAAGATGGCCCCCTTTACGCTGTGCCACAATCTATATCTCTCTATCACTGGTATTACTCAGCTATGTTGATCATAGTCAGCTATGTTGATCATAGTCAGCTATGTTGATCATAGTCAGCTATGTTGATCATAGTCAGCTATGTTGATCATAGTCAGCTATGTTGATCATAGTCAGCTATGTTGATCATAGGTTCATCAGATCCGTTATATTGATCATTTAGTCAGTTTGGTCGATATTAGTCATTTAAAGTTAAGGGGGGGATTCTTATCTTGTATTACTCGGGTGAATGTCTTGTTTAACATTGTATTCACTCTATCCTGTATTTATTGATGATACATCTATAACAAGGAATGAATAAAAGTGTTATTGTACTTGACTCTATTCTGCTTTACTCTGATGAAGGCGATTTAAGCCGAAAACGCGTTTAGCATTCTCTATTTCTCACATGGGGGTTTTCCGCATACTTAGATCAGTGTTTTTTGTGATCATTATTGCATATATATATATATATATATATATATATATATATATTTTTATATATATATATATATATATATATATATATATATATATATAGTATATATATATATACTAGCAGTACCCGGCCACGCGTTGCTGTGGCTCAGCAACGCGTGTGCTGAGCCACAGCAACCTTCCCTGTCCCCCAGTCTTCCCATCATTCCCCACTCCACCATCCCCTCTTCCTTCCCACCATGCCCTACTCCCCGTGTCCCTTTGGCCTCCCCACCATTCTCCATGCCCCCCATCCCCTCGTCCCCACCATCCCCAACTCCCCCGTCCCCTCGTCCTCCCCACCATTACCCCCCTCCCTTGTCCCCTCGTCCTCCCCACCATTCTCCATTCCCCCATCCCCTCGTCCCCACCATCCCAAACTCCCCCGTCCCCTCGTCCTCCCCACCATTCCCCACTCCCTCGTCCGATGCCTTCTCAAATGGTCTGATGTTCCCATCAGAACATCAAGTGATCTGATGTTCCCATCACTGTAATATAAGAAAAACAGTTAAAAAATGAAATGAAAATATGAAAAAATATAAAAATAAACTATTCTCACGAAATGAATGATCTGGAAAAACAACCACC